CATGGCATGGGGTGAGTGTTCATTAAATGTTGTCAATGAGTCATGAGCACAAGGAGGGATGAGCTCTGTTTCTCAGAGAACAGTCCTGCAAAGGAAGTGATTAAACTCCCACCAGCTGGTTTATAAATCCTTCTTTTACCCACTGAGTAACCATGAGCAGTTCATTTTTCTCTTCCTGGGTTTTGTAATTCTTCTCTGTAAACTAAGGTTAGACCAGATGATCCGCCAGGTCTCTTCCAGCTCATCTTTTGTAAGCGGTAGGGGCGGGTGGGGGAGGAGTCAAGTGATTTCATTACATCATAGGTCTGAATCTGAATTTTTAGTAAGAGAGAACAAAACACAACAGTTTATTTCTTCAGTTAAAATTCAAAGCCTGGGCAACATAGTGAGATCCCATCTCTACAGAAAACTTTTTAAAATTAGCCAGGTGTGGTGGTGTGTGCCTGTTTTCCTAGCTACTCAGGAGGCTGAGGTGGGAGGATCGCTTGAGTCAAGGAGTCCGAGGCTGCAGTGAGCTATGATAGCATCACTGCACTCCAGTCTGGGTGACAGAGTGAGGCCCTTTCTCTAAAAAAAATAAAAACAATAAATCAACATGTACTGAATACCTACTGTGTGCTAGACCCTGTCATGTGCTGAATCGGATACAGAGATAAATTTTTAAAACATTGTCTTCACCCTGAAACATGGGTAATGAGAAAGACAAATATGACACCAACAACAAATGATACTAATCATAATAATGACAGCTAACAGTGTACAGGGCACTCCCTCTTTGCCAGAAACTGTTTTGAGCACCTCACACTCTTTAGCTGATTTTTTTTTTTTTTTTTTTTTTTTTGAGACGGAGTCTCACTCTGTCGCCCAGGCTGGAGTGCAGTGGCGCCGTCTTGGCTCACTGCAAGCTCCACCTCCCGGATTTACGCCATTCTTCTACCTCAGCCTCCCGAGTAGCTGGGACTACAGGCGCCCGCCACCACGCCCAGCTAGTGTTTTGTATTTTTTAGTAGAGACGGGGTTTCACCATGTTAGCCAGGATGGTCTCGATCTCCTGACCTTGTGATCTGCCCGTCTCGGCCTCCCAAAGTGCTGGGATTAGAGGCTTGAGCCACCGCGCCCGGCCTCTTTAACTGATTTTAATCTTCCCAAACATTGTACGAGGTGGGCACTGTCATTATTCCTACTTTACAAATGAGTGAATTGAGGCACAAAGGGGGATTTGTCAAAAGGGTATGGCGAACGTTAATAGTGCACGAACCGTGTTTATCTGTGGGGCCCGAAATGCAGAAATAATAACAGGCAGCTGTTTGAAGTGAAGGGATCTTACACAGTGTTAACTGGTGCGTTCGTTCCCCTGTCTTCTCTCTTATTCCCTGCTTGACCCTTCTGCTACTTAGGATCAGTCACACACACCGAGTGGGCGGGAAGGGATTTTCTGTAGCAAGCGGAGAATGCTTCAGGGTTTGGAAACTTAAAATCCATGGCTGTGAGATGACCCAGGACCTAGAAAAAACTGGGTGAGTTAGAACCAGTTTTCTCGCCCCCAGGGAAGGAGGAGAGTAAGAAATGAAGCATGCGTAGATCTTCCTGACAAATGCAGTTATGCCACCCTGTTCCCCATTCAAGCTAGACGTTCAGAGTTCTGGGGATCAGGCCCCAGAGCAGGAATGGCCTGTGTGCATGGTCGATGTGCCCGCCTGAAATGGCCCTGGGCATGATGAGTGAGCGGACGTGCCCGGGGTTTCGAAGTGCTTTGAGTTTGTGAGCAGGTGGAAGTAGAAGAGGTCTGAGCCAGAACGGTGCAGACAGAATGCATGTCCACCTTCCTAGGAGAAGAGTGGAAGTAAAAGGAGAGTCACAGGGCTTGAAGAGTCCCCTAGAATGAGAGCAAGGAAAAAAGCAGCCTGGAGGAAATAATGCCCCAGAACCAGGATGGGGAGTGGATGCCTCACGGCTGCTGCAAGAAACAGTGCAGTGAAGAGGCCGGAATGGAAGCTCCTTGAGGCAGGGATTCCTTTCTCTTTAGGCTCCATCCTGTGAGCCTAGGTCAGATAATAGGTGATCCGTCAATATCTGTTAAATGAATGACCTTAGGTGGGCTACCTCTGGGATCAGGCCTTTGGTTTGCAATCTCAGCTCTGCCTCTTCCTAGCCACGTAATCCTTTTGTAAGCCCCTTACCTTCTCTGTGCCTCATCTATAAAATGTGGGTAAAAATCATACAGATCACTACTGATCTAAGATAACAAAAGATGGAACACAGATGAAGCTCTTAGTGTCTGGCACCGTGGAAGTGCTCACTAAATATTTGCTTCTGGTCTCATGAGACGCCACCGCCCCCGCCTTCTTGCCTTGCACCTTGCCATTACACGAAGTACTCCCTCTCCTGACCCCTCCTAACTTCGATATTAACCTTGAAGAAAAGATGGGGACTAAGAATAGGCTAAGATCAAACTTCTACCACCACAATACAATGGAGACTCCTGGTAGAACGTAAGCTAAGAGCTTTAAAAAAAAAAGTTATTTTTTTGCACAGCTGATTTTGCAGTTTTCATATTCAAGAATAGGGCAAAACTTTGAAAAGTGGGTATCCCTAGGCGGCCCTTGCTAGCATTTTAAGTTGAACAGTTTTCTCGCACGTAGGCGTGTGTACACAGAGAACAACTGACCTCTCACCTTACTCGCCTTTCTAGAAAAGCACAGTTCTCCGAGGAGTTATCATTTGCAGGTGCTACTAGATAAAACTCAACTTTAAGGCAAAGAGGCCAAGTCTAGGAAACAGAGCTCTGTCCTTCCTTTCCCTTACTGTATCATCGTGAAAGACCTCTGGGCTCTCCCGAGGAAATTCAGCACAGAGAGTTTTATTTCATATTAAGATATGTCCTCCTGAAGGTGAGTGATAAATGTGATCATTAATTTTTTATTGAAAAACATAATCTGGATTTACCTGGCTTCTCACTTATCTAAAGAGCAGTTGGGTGACCAACCCTCCTATTTGCCTGAGAGTGGCCTCATTTTAGCACTGAAACCCCTCAGTTCTTGACAAACAAAGATACTCTAAATGTCACGGACAAACCCTAAATGCCGGTCACATCTCGGTAGACGTTTTGGCCCAAGGGAGCGTTTGGAGATTTTTTTTTTTTTTTGGATGGAAAAGGAAATGTACTCCTTTGGAATCAGAAGAGCTCACTATCTAGGAACAAAATACGACATGAATTCCTCCCAGTGCATTCGGTACTCTGCTCAGGATTGGCAAGCCTGGCCCTGAAGACCCTGCAGAGTGAGATGCACCTGCCTGGAAATGCCTCATTTGACAAGGAGGCAATGGGAGGGCAGAGAGGAGGGGCCTGCTGCAAATAGGTCCACGTGGCAAGTCTGTAAACTCTGCCTTCACATCTTTCCCATAGAGTCCTTTGATTTTGGTCAGACTCTAGACCCCCATGACAAACCCCTGCTGCCTGCACAGGGTGGGCCTGTGTCCCCTCCTTCACCAAGTCAGCCTACCTGTGTGGGACACTGTGATTTGCTCCCAGGCAAAGGAGCAGCCCCTGGCATAGAGACTCCCCCCAGGACATACGGACCAGCTGCCAAGCCTATATGACATTTTGGTGGCGTTTTCAAACCACATGGAGTTGGCTCACTGAATGCCTAGTGAGTCTGCAGTCACAGAGAATGCAACACAGCCTGTTCTGCACCTTGTGGGCTGCTGCGGGAGCTCAATGGGGCTGCAGACGCTTGGTGCTTCAGGGTTGGATTTGGATGTTGCAGAGTTCCTTGCATGGGTGGGTTCCTGGGCAGCCGGCCACTCTGAGTGGCTGGAATGGAGCCTCTCAGCCACACTCCTCACCCCGTTGCCAGTGCCTCTGCCTGGCCACAGCAGCAAAGAATATCCCTCAGCCTCTCCCTTCCTGAGAGCTGTAGGGAGGATTCCTTTTAGACACGTGGGGCACCGCCAGCCAGAGGTGGGGACAGCTTTCTCCTTGTCCTGCACCAAGACACCTTGGGGCACACACCTGACTCTTACCCTACCCACATCTATGCCCAGGTCCCTGCGGCAGGGCGGAGAGTGATGGCAGGGTGCTGGCCTCCCTCTGCTGATACCTCCCTGGGTGGAGGGTGGTGGCTGTTGTAGAGCAGGAAGGGGAAGAGGAGGCGGGGCAAGCATAGCCCACTGGGGGACAGGGAGGTGAGAGGCAGCAAGTAGTAGGAACAGCCTGTGAGCAGAGGCTCCAAATCCCCGATATATGCTCTATTGGGATGTCAGATTTCACTTACAAAACACAAATTCAAGGATAAAATACTGAAGAATTTCAAAATGGCAACCTCAAAGCATTACCCCCAACTATGGGGCCCTTTGGAGTACAGGGCCTTGTGCAACTGCACTGGCTGCAGACACATGAAGCTGGCCCTGACAGTGGGAATTTGCCTCCTATGTTTCCTCTGGGAAGGTCAGAGCCTAAATGAATGGCTCGTTTTGAATAACTGTGGAGGACCTGGAGCTTGCATAGCACATTCCAACTTTGCTTTAGTCTTGATCTTCAGATTGCTCAACATTCTGCTGCTTTTGACTTTCATTTCTCATTGTCTTATTTATGTACTAAAAGGATGTAATATTATAAAAAGTTTCAAATCCTTTGTCAAGTGAGAGACGTAATAAAAAATGAGATATTTTCCCTCTTAACCTTCGCTTGGGTCCTCAATGTAAAGAGATCATTTTGGTGATAGATGGGCAGCTGGAATATCTGCACCACCACAGCTAATCTGATTAATTGAGAGGATGTTTGCAAATGCAGAATAAAATACAATATTGGTCCGCCCTTGGTAAAATATGTGTATGAAATTGTTTTCCAGTAGTGATGGATTTGCAGGGAGCCAATCGCACCCTCCCAATCAATCTCCCACGTAAACATTTCAGAAACACCCAGCCAGTATCTCCATTACAACAACATTAAGCAGTTACCGTATTAATTATCTATTGCTGATAACAAATTACCCCCAAACTTAACAGCTAAAAACATTTATTATTTCATAGTATCTGAGGGTCAGGAATCCAGGAGCAGGTTTGCAATGGGTGATCTCTCATGAGATTGCAATCATGATGTTGGTTGGGCTACAATCATCTGAAGGCTGGATCGGGGTTGGAGATTCAAGATGGTGCACTCACAAAGCTGTTGGCCAGAGGTCTCAATTCCTCACCATGCGGACCTCTCCATAGGCTGCCTGAGTGTCCTCATGACATGACAGTTAGCATGACCTGGAAAGAGTAGTCCAAGAAAGAGAGAACTAGAAGGAAGCCCCAGCATCTTTCAAGATCCAATCTCTTGCCATCATCCTCCATATTCTATTTGTTCAAAGCAAGTCATTAAGTCCAGCCTGCACATGATGGGAGCGGAGTTAGGGATGACCTCTTGGAAGAAAGAGTACCAAATAATTTGTGGACATATTTTAAAACTACAGTTTCCCAAAACATTAAGTGGTTGGACCATAAATGAATTTCCTCAAAGGTTGGTTGTAGTAATCACATAGTAGGAAAAGCTTGGACTGTGGGTCACATCTGAGTTTGAAACCAAGACTTGCTCCTTACTAGTTTGTGGGATCTGGACAAAATGAGCATCTCCAAACCTTAGTTTCTTCATCTGTAAAATGAAGATAATAACAGTAATTCTTTCATAGAGTTATTATGCTAATAATATCTAAATGAGATGACCTTACAGGGTTGGATCCAACCTGAGACTTTTACCTAAGAACCTGAGGCTTTCACAATTTGATGAGACTTTCTTTAAGGAAACAGGATGGGAAATTACACTAAATTAGGTAAAAAAATAGGCATTTATTTATAATTAGAATTGACAAAAATTATACATTTGAAAAGTCAACAAATAGCATAAACATCACGAATCCAATAAAAAATTAACTACCTGAACAAAACTCTTTCAAATACTTTCTTTCCTATGAAATCATATCCTTTGCAGAGACATGGATGCAGCTAGATGCCATAATCCTAGATGAATTAATGTAGAAACAGAAAACCAAATCCTGCATGTTCTTACTTGTAAGTGGGAGTTAAACAATGGGTATGCACGAACGTAGTGATGGAAACAATAGACACTGGGGACTCCAACATCAGGGAGGAAGGATGGGGGGTGGGTGGAAAAACTACCTATTGGGCACTACGTTCACTATTTGGGTGGGGTTCAAGAGAAGCCCAAACCCCAGCATTACACGATATATCCTTGTAACAAACCTGCACACATATCCCCCGAATCTAAAATTGAAATACTTTATTTCCTAGGTTTTGACTGAATGCTCTTTGATCACTCCCTACAATGACAAAGATTTTGTAATATTGTCCATAGCCAGAAGAGAAAGATAATTCAGTCTTTTAATAGCACGGTTCATCAAAAGTTGGTTTTGATTACTGGGAGCTTATTATTCAGCGCCACCAATCATTATTTGTAATGTCATGCACATTTTTAGGATTGTTGTCAAATTTGGGAAAACCTCTCTGAGGTTTCTTTTATTGATGAGCTCAGGGTATTTCAGGTGTTCTGTGTAGTCCATTGGTGGCACCCATTAACCGGGGCCACAGGACGGGCTTGAAGCTTCAGCTTCTCTGTAGATCCTCTCCTGGAAGCAGGTCGGTGTGTGTGTAGGGAGCCGGCCTGTGGTAGGTGCACAGGAAGTGGAGGAAGCTTGGAGGCAACCCTCATCTTCCTGCTCCATTGCCACAGGTGGAGTTGGGGATTTCCCACCCCGGACTCAGCTTCCTCTTTCTCCAGTAGCCCATCAGGGCCTGTGAGAAGGTCGTGATAAAAATACACTATGGCGGGGCGCGGTGGCTCACGCCTGTAATCCCAGCACTTCAGGAGGCCGAGGCGGGCGGATCATGAGGTCAGGAGTTTGAGACCAGCCCGGCCAACATGGTGAAACCCTATCTCTACTAAAAATACAAAAAATTACCCGGATGTGGTGGTGTGTGCCTGTAATCTCAGCTACTCGGGAGGCTGAGGCAGAAGAATTGTGTGAACCTGGGAAGTGGGGGTTGCAGTGAGCCAAGATCGTGCCATTGTACACCATCCAGCCCAGGCAACAATGCGAGACTCTGTCTCAAAACAACAACAACAACAAACAAAACAAGAAGCACTGCTTGTTATGATGCAGTGGAAATAACGCTGGACTCCGAATTTAAAAACCTGGGTGTGAATCCTGTCTTTGTCATTTATCAGCTGTGTGACTTCTGGCAAATTACCCAAACTCTCTGTGTCTTCGTTTCCTCATCTCTGAGATGGGTGAACCTGTGCCAGCCTCATGGTTATAGAGATGAATGGCAGGATATAAGTAAAGGGGCACTGTAAATTGTAAAGCAATTTTACTGATGTAAATGGTTTTTATTTTGGTACCTGGAAGAGTTACTGAGGAATCAGATGGGATACTATCCAATGCCTATGAGCATCTTAAAGTCTTTGTTCTCTGTGGCCTAAAGGAATGGGAAATTCATGTTGGGCTTTAATAGAAAGGATGGCAAAATTGCCCATGATTTCCACAAAAATGTATTGAGCCCCATCTGTTGGCCATAGTTTGTGCTAGAGATGGAGATTTAAAGACAGAGTTCTGGCCCTTCAGGGAAGGTAGCACTGGTAGATGGAACTCCAGAAGGGCATCTGGAGGGTGGATTTAGCCCCTGAGCCTTCTAACTTTATAATCTGGGCCTCCCTCCACCTCTGTGTCTCCTTCTGCAAAGGGATACTGCTCTCTGTGTGAGCAGGTGGGGAAACAAGTGAGTTAAAGCTGGCAGATCTTGGAGGACACTTGGACAGGTGTCTGACAAAGCCGTCAGAGGGTTGAAGGGGAGCTCCTCTGAGACTGGCTGTTTTCCTTGGGGAATTTTCAGGAAGCTTTGAAGTGCCGCCAGGACAAGGGAGGCCGCCCCATCCTGGAGGTGCATTCACTTGTAATTTACTCCTCCACGTGGGCTCTGGAACTCCACTCTCATAAATACATCACCCACTCCACCTCACCCTGAGTAAAGCCTGGCTGACAGGGGAAGGGGGGCTGGAGAGGAGGAATCACTAAATTAAGAAGGTCCCTGGGGGTGGGTGGCCTACAGACACGACTGAGACTCCTGAGTCTCTCCCCTTAGAGCATAAATATTTCCAACTAAGATCACAGACTCCCTCATCATAAAATCAATGAAACCACAAGGGAAAATGATCTCCTGCATGACTGCCTCAGAGATATCTCAGAGTCCTTTCCCCTCCTGCAGAAGCAATTGTTCCGGGGCTCAGGACTTGAAATCCAGGCAAGACTGTTGAGAATTTGATGGGGAGAGAACATCAGTTGGGTTGGGTGCAGGACTCTCCTGTTCCACTGCAGAATTTAGAACAGAAGCTGTGTTCTGCAATGGGTCTGTGCAACACCTACTACAAGATGAGAATTTTTCTTCAAGTCAGAACACCTGAGTTCAAGCTCTAGCCTTCTAATTACTGGCTGAGTGTCCCTGAGCAAAGTAGACTCTCCAAGTCCAGTTTCCCCATCTAGTAAAAGAAGGATAATAACGCAAGGTCTGCCTGGCCTATTTGGGAGGTAACAATATCAAAAGAGGTCTGTCTATGCAAATGTTTTGTAAACTATAAAACTCTTGATAAATAAGGTGTTTTATTATTAAAAGATAAAAAGCACCAATTGTGCTAATGAACCTATGAGAACTCCTTACGCTGTGACAGAAGCTGTGGTTTAAACGAGGGGATATTCTGACTTACGTGATTGAGAAGGGCTAAGGTGGGACTGATTCAGAGAAGACTAGATTCAAACAATGTCACCAAGGCCAGCCTCTCCCGCTCTCCTTGCTCTGCCTTCTGTGGTATTAGATTTGGCTTCATCATCCAGTTTCATGGGTCTTTGTGGTCAGAAATGTCCACAGTGACTGCAAGTCCCACGTCTTCACACAATGCCATCCAGGGGAAGACAGGTCTCTTTCCAGTAACTTCTGTTGCAGACAGATGGAGAGAGAAGTGAGAAACTTCTTTTTCCAGACTTAGCACACGTATCAAATTTCATTGGCTTTCTTTATATAGATGGGGGATAGGGCACATCAATTGGCTTAAGAGAATCAAGGCCCATCCTTAGATTTTTGTGTAGGACTGGGATGCCAACCCAACCACATTTGGAAGAGGCTATTTTGTCAGAAGACTGAGTGGATACCGGGTTGCAAAAACAACACATGTCCAGTACAGTCTACCCCCTCTAGCTGCCCAATAGCCACACTTAAATCTGTCTCCATAAACATACCTTAAAAAAGTTCCACCCTCCACACCAAACATAGTCAACCCCTTTCCCTCAAAGAGACGAGCCACAATTTTTCAAAGAGACAAGCCACAATTTTATCCAGTTCTGGTTCTCTGGGTGACGTGTGGTCCTCATACATGGAGCTCTTATTGGTTCCCTGTGGTCCACTGAGGTTAAATGGTAAATTTAACCAGCACTCAGTAGACAGTGGTAGAGAGAGAACAGGGAAATTGCAGTAATAACTCTCCTTTGGAAAAGGAAAGAATAGGAAACAACTCACAGTGGTCACTGGCCCATAGCCCATATCTGACTCTGCCAGAAGTCACATGGACATGGTCTCCTGGGAGCAAATAAGTGACTTCCCCCAGCTCTGCCCTCTGCAAGGCTCCCCTCTGCCCGTTGCCCTCAGGGGCCCCTGCTTGTCTGTCTGGGAAAATCTCTCCTGTGGATTGTCCTTCATGGGACGCTGTGACATGCACATTGAGGAGGGGTACCCCTTTCTGGGAGCTGCACTGTTTCAGCAGCTCTCTCTCTGTTGATGTGAGTTTGGAAGCCTGGAAATTGCCATCCTAGGCCGTTATAGGCCAGGCTTGAGGATTCTTTGGCAAAATGACACCCTTAAAAAGTTAGCAAGGTCCTGGTCTATGTGCTCCTGGCTGATGCCCTGGAGAGTACCCAGAGCCAGAGATCTTACCACGTCATAGTCTTTGAAACAAAAGCCTCCCTGGGAATATCAACCTCCTAGTATGGGGCCCAGTGCCCTGGCTGTCCCCTGATCCCTTCAATTTGATGCTTCTGTCTTGGCCTCAACTGGAGAAAAGTCAAAACAATATGGTGGGTGGAGAGGACTCAGACTACTCATTCCTTATAATAACAACAAAAATATGATGAGTAACATGTATTGATTGCTTACTATGGGACAGGCACAGTTCTAAAGCCTTTATATGTATTATTAACTCACTTAATCTTGATAAGCAGCCCTGTGAGACAGGAACTGTTACCATGCACAATTTGGGAAAGCAATTCATGGAGCAATAAAGCAACCTGCTTGTAAGTGGCAGAGCGGGGATTCAACCCCAGCCAGCCTGGGCCCGCAGTCCTAGCAGAGCAATAATCCCTGTTGTGTGCTGGTCTCAGGCTGCATCCTGCTGCATCTTCCCAAGGGCAGTGTTGACTTCTTCGTTCAAGGCATAATAGGAGGTGCTTGGGAGGGCTGCCTCCCAGGCCTCAATCTTATTTCCTGTTAGGTTCCCATGTTCCCGCCTTTCTTTTGCTCATTTCATGTTTCATATTATATTGTATTGTATTTTACATGGGGTCTCCCTCTGTCACTCAGGTTGGAGTGCCGCGGTGTGATCACAGCTCCTGCAGCCTTGAACTTCTGCGCTCAAGTGATCCTCCTACCTCAGCCTCCCTAGTAGGGGGAAACACACGTCACCATGCCCAGCTAATTAAAAAAAATTTTTTTTTTTTGTAGAGATAGACTCTCACTATGTTGCCCAGGCTGGTCTTGAACTCCTGGCTACCAACTATCTACCTGCCTTAGCTTCCCAAAGTACTGGGATTATAGGCACAAGCCACCATGCCGAGCTCTTTTGCCAACTTTGAGGGTGAAGAAAGGAGCTTTTCCTGTACTCCTGGACAAGCGGAACAGCAGGCCATTGGCAAAAAAGGCAACTCTTAGCAAACCTGTTCTTTTCTCTTGTCTCTTGCTTTTAGATGGGTCAGTTTTGTTACCGGAAATGAGTCCCAATCCAGACCCCAAGAGAGGGTTTTTGGATCTTGTGCAAGGAAGAATTCAGGGTGAGTGCATACTTGAAAGCAAGTTTATTAAGAGAGCAAAGGAATAAAGAATGGCCACTCCATAGGCAGAGCAGCAGCACGAGCTGCTGGTTGGCCATTTTTATGGTTATTTCTTGATTATATGCGAAATAAGGGTGAATTATTCATGAGTTTTTCAGGAAAGGGGTGGGCACTTTCCAGAACTGGGGGCTTCTCCCCTTTGTAGACCGTATAGGGTAACTTCCTGACGTTGCCATGGCATTTGTAAACTGTCAAGGTGCGGGTGGGAGTGTCTTTTAGCATGCCGATGCATTATAATTAGCATACAATGAGCAGCGAGGATGGCCAGAGGTCACTTTTGTCATCATCTTGATTTTGGTGGGATTTGGCAGGCTTCTTTACCACATGATGTTTTATCAGCGAGCTCTCTTGGCTTGTATCTTGTGCTGACCTCGCATCTCATTCTGTGACTAAGAATGCCACAACCTCCTGGGAATGCAGCCCCGTCGGTCTCAGCCTTATTTGACCCAGCTCCTGTTCAAGATGGAGTTGCTCTGGTTCAAATGCCCCTGACAGTTTCAGTCTAATCTTCTCTCTTTCTTGGAAGACCTTACTGAACAAGTCAGCACACTCCAAAATCCAAAACTTTTTTTTTTTTCTTTTACAATATCCTTTGATGTTAAAGCCTCAGGAAGCACATAGTCTGACTGTCAGGACTTACTAGGCAATGGTTTAACCAGCCATTTACTGAAACTTAACAAAGAATTACTAAATTCTCAGATATCAATTATTTCTTTTCACTCAAATGCCTCCACTTAGCCTTGCAACATCCGACTTCTGATATTAGATTCTGTATCAGTTAGGAAACTTTTGGTAGCAAAAAATTTTAAGCAAAAAATAAATACACTGGAAGGCTCCCAGAGGCTCGAAGAATCATCAGGAGACTGGAGAGCATGGCTGGAAAACCTCAGCAGCCATCCTCTTGAGGAACTGCCTGGTCAGTGCGGGGCAGGGTGGTGTGGTGCTGTAGCCAATCCCTGCTTATTTTCTCTTTGCTCAAGATTCCAATCCCAGGGAAAGAACATCAGATTGATCAAGCTTAGGCCACCCGCCCACCTCTCAGCTAGGAGTAAGTAGAACCACCAACCTGTGCCTGGTGCAGAAGAGGTGATTCCAATAAAGGAAGTGAGGATGCTATTAGGGAAGGGAAGTAAATGTGGGGCAGTTCTAATCCAACAGACTTCCCTTATACCTAGTGATGCTGGTCACATGGACTGTAGACATTATTCCATTTAGTCATGGTAGTTGGATCAAAATGAGAATGAGTTGGAGAGTTCTACAGGAAGTCAAGTAGTAGTTAGGTGGTAAGACTTAGGCGGTTAGGGGACAGGCACAATGGCTCACTGCTGTAATCAGAGCACTTTGGGAGGCTGAGGCAGGCAGATCACAAGGTCAGAAGTTCGAGACCAGCCTGGCCAACATGGTGAAACCCCGTCTCCACTAAAAATACAAAAATTAGTTGGGCGTGGTGGCACACATCTGTAATCCCAGTTACTCAGGAGGCTGAGGCAGGAGAATCATTTGAACCTGGGAGGCGGAGGTTGCAGTGAGCCAAGATCACACCACTGCACTCCAGCCTGGGTGACAGGGCGAGACTCTATCACAAAAAAAAAAAAAGTCACAGAGGAAAATTTTTATTTAATTAATGTTAGTTTTGGTTTTTAAAAATCCCAGCACTTTGGGAGGCAGAGGCAGGCAGATCACGAGGTCAGGAGATTGAGACCATCCTGGCTAACATGGTGAAACCTCATCTCTACTAAAAATACAAAAAATAGCTGGGCGTGGTGGCAGGCGCCTGTAGTCCCAGCTACTCAGGAGGCTGAGGCAGGAGAATGGTGTGAACCCTGGAGGCGGAGCTTGCAGTGAGTGGAGATCACGCCACTGCACTCCAGCCTGGGGGACAGAGCGAGACTCTGTCTCAAAAAGAAAAAAAAATCTTTAAAGCAATTTTTTTTTTTTTTAAATGTAGAGACAGAGTCTACCTATGTTGCCGGGACTGGTCTTGAACTCCTGGGCTCAAGGGATCCTCCCACCTCGGCCTCCCAAAGTGCTGGGATGACAGCCACCACATCCAGTCTGTTTGGTTTGTTTATTTAGGTATTTGTCTCTGAGGGGCAAAAGCAAATGCATCTGGCAGTCAGCAAGGCATTATGTTCTCAGAAGCCAGTGATTCTCTCCCTTACTCACCCACCCATTTAATTGATCACTGAATCAGAACTTATTTATTTATTTTTGAGACAGAGTCTAGCTCTGTCGCCCAGGTTGGAGTGCAGCAGCGCCATCTCGGCTCACTGCAAACTCCACCTCTGGGGTTCACGCCATTCTCCTGCCTCAGCCTCCTGAGTAGCTGGGACTACGGGCGCCCGCCGCCACGCCCGGCTAATTTTTTGTATTTTTTTAGTTGAGACGGGGTTTCACCATGTTAGCCAGGATGGTCTCAATCTCCTGACCTTGTGATCCGCCTGCCTTGGCCTCCCAAAGTGCTGGGATTGCAGGCGTGGAGCCACGCCCCCAGCCCTGAATGAGCACTTATTGAACAGTTTCTTAGTCCTGGGCAATGTCTAGCAGCTAAGTAGATACAAACGTAGATGATATAATTTCTGTCCTCAGGTGGCAATGAGCGACAGTAGTAGTAGAGATATTTTAGTCTCCTTAGAAGGCATGGTTCAATGTGAAGCCTCTGAAGTCAGACATGGAAGAGTGCAGTGTCGGGTTCAAATCCTGACTGTGTGACTTTAAGCACGTTACATAATCTCTTCAAATCTGTTTTCTCATCTCTGTAATGGGGATAGTTACTAATTCAAAGCATCGTTACTCTTATCAAATTGATTCATAAATTCAATGCAATTTCATTCAAAATCCCAGCATGTGTTTTAATGGAAATCGACAAGCAGTGGGAGTCTAAAATATGCATAGAAATGCAAATAACCGAGATAATCCTGAAGCAGAACAGAGCTGGAAGGATTATACTGTAGCATATCATGCCTTATTGGAAGCTACAGTAACTAAGATAATATGATATTGTAGACCAAAAATAGATGAACGCATGAATAGAATAGAGGGTCTGGAAGTGGACTGACACATATAGGCCACTTGATTTATGATGAAGGTAATATTTCAGAGCAGTGTGGAAAAGATTTTTTTAGTCAATGTCCTTTTATGTATAGCTTATTTCACTTAGCATACTGTCTTCAAGGTTCAGCCAAGTTGTAGTACGTGTTAGAATTTCCTTCCTTTGTTTTGTTTGTTTTTTGTTTTTGAGACGGAGTCTCGCTCTGTCATCCAGGCTGGAGTGCAGTGGCACAATCTCAGCTCACTGCAAGCTCCGCCTCCCGGGCTCACGCCATTCTCTTGCCTCAGCCTCCCAAGTAGCTGGGACTACGGGCACCTGCCACTGTGGCTTATTTATTTATTTATTTATTACAGGCAT